AAACCTGTCCACCAACCAACAGACCAAAATAAAAATCACCAACCAACAATATCCAACAATAACATGTATCTATTGTAAGAATGCCAATCAGTGACTAAGCATGACTAAGCAATCAGCACAAAGTCAGTCAACCTACCACAAAATGGATTTAAAAAATGGTTCAATGGATTTGCCAATTTCATGGGTTCCCAACCAGCATTTCAAGTGCAGACTGCCATGCAACTGCACGGCCACAGGCGCTGAGTGCGGCCTTGGGAAGTGGGGCTCCTACCCACCGTTGAGCGTGTATTGATCAACACATCATTGAGGCATTGAGGGGAAAAAAGGGAGTTTAGGGCGTTTAAGAGTCTCCAATTTCGGGACAGAACCATTTCATCCATCATGAACGTGAACCAGGTCTCTCTCTCTCTCGTTCTTCTCGAACATGAGACCAGTGCGTTGATGGAGATGACACTACCCTGCAATCCGACATCCAAGCTCCTTTGCAGCGCCTGCGGAGCAATACACGGCACTCGGGTCTGCCCCAAACAACAGGGTTTTTATGGGGAAAATGATCTTTGGGTCTTTGGGGATCATCAACGACTGGATTTGGGTGCACTCGTTCTTTTCAGATCAACCCACTTCTCAATTCTGAAAATAGCAATGGCCTGAAGTGAGCAAGACCACATGGACACCTGGCGCGACAATGGAGCCAACATGAGCCAACACTAACAAAGATTGCAACCCATTCGGGCAGACCTCCTTGTAAACGTTCACTAAGCTTCCAAAGATGATCACATTCTGCTGGACGTCATGGGCCTGGCAGCATATGGCTATGGATTCTGAACACATGGGGTACCCTCAATTCCCCCATGGTGTTTCATAATTACGACCACTAGTTTACCTGTAAATATTCACCTTAATATCGGTATATCCCCACTATAGTCACTACATCCCCATCATAATATCCACATGATGCTCCACTTTCGACTCCGAAAATGTGCAATTTCGCCTCCATCTCTCGCAGCAAGGTGCTGGCTATCTCCCAGTGGCACTTGGTGATCGCCTTGATCCGCGGCTTCAGAAGTTATTGGGGGTACCAATGTACCTACAGAATTTGTCACTTTTAGATCTTTTTAGTCATTGAAACGTGTTGAAACATATGAAAATAGCATAAAATCAACATCCCTTTTGGATCTTTTGGGGGGATCTCAAACAGAATAAATCCATAGTGTTGACACATCCTGGGCACTCACAGCACTATCTTCACCAAGGCCGATGCCTGACCAAAATCGCGGGCATCCTGTGACGAAGATGGAAGGTCCAAGGAATCACTGATGGAAGGTCCATTTCTTGCATTGATCCACCATGATCCACCATGATCCACCCCACTTTTGGGGTACTTTGGGGTACCTCATTTTGACCCAGGTGAAAAACTGACACGAGATGAACATGTATCAACTTTGGGATTACTCAAACTCTGTCTCTTGAACCTGAGTTTCTCTTCCTTTATCTCTGCGGATCTCTCTGGAAGGAATTTCTGCAACCTGTCTTTTGCGGTCCTTCCGCACAGCCAGCGCTGCATTCGCCTTCCAGCAGTTGGGCTTTTAAATCATCTACTGGAGCAAGAGAGTGAGGACGCGAGTTCAAGAAGGTCAATATCTGCAGCTTTTCCAGTTCCCTCCCATCATTTTGATCAGCAACTATCAAACCCTCAAAATCAAGTGAGATTTGCCTGGCCTCGAAAAGGTCAAGTGCTCCCCTCCATTCTGAGGCATCAAAGCTTCTCCGCATCGATCGTTCAGAGTCCTTCATTCAAATTGCCGGTGTTGAAAACTGGCATCATGTCATCAACATTAACATGGAGCAAGTTAGTTGCTTCAGTTGAGCTTGTTGACTGTCATCAGTCACTCAATTATCGTGGTCTCCTGAGTGTTCCAGCCGATACCACGGCCTTAGCTGCCTTTGCTTCGCCTTACACAACTTGCTGTCTTGGCCACAGGCGGCTGCAGGTGCACAGCTGCCATGGCAGCCATGGCCATCTTGGTGTCGCACTGGTGGCTGGTGGCTGGTCAAGGTCGGTCAAGGTCGGTCTCCACTGCATAGCAGATCGTGCAGCATAACCTGCTGAGCCCCAACTTTCACACATGGATTGTGACCACAATATGTTGAGTAACAAAATGGGTAGATTTGGGTAGTATAACCTTTATAATGATCATCCGAAAGAGGGGTTGAACACTTCTCAATTACATCCAATCATATACTGCGCCTGAAATTCTCCGGACTGAGACCATAAGCGAATGCAAAGGCTCCCTCCAAAATGTCGCAGCAAAAGGTCTTGCTGACTGCAGCTGTCACGCGGCATGAAGGCAGTGTGAACCGCTGCTTGGAGGTGGCACGCCATGGAATCAAGTCTTAATTTGGAAGAGCCGGTACAACTAGGAACAAACCAAAGTACAGCTGCCAGCTGCCAGTTATTTATTAAAGAAAAAACACTCATGGCTTGATTACGCCAAAAGAGTACAGCTTGCTAATCAATTTAATCGAACGCCGCCCCGCCCATGTTTGGGGTGTCACAAAACTTTAAAATGCATGTGCTTCGTGTGCTTAGTTGCAAAACGACGGATGCAAAGCAGGACCAGCTCCTGGCTCCTATGGTTGATTCATGATTCCAAATCTTAGCTCGGAGCCAACGAGAGATCCGCAGGAAAGCAAGTGAGCAAAAACGCACCGGCTTGGCTCCAGAAATATGTAATACCCAAAAATCTCAGAAGTATACACCGTTTCGGTACCGAAAAAATGATTGTGATACTTCGAATTTGGTGCACAATGACTCGTTCTTTGCTGCCAAGGGTAGCAGAATGACAAATGCTATATATCCAGCTGTGGATCATTGTCCCACTTTAAATCTATCTACTTGGTGGCACACAGAGCCATAGTGAATTATTGTGCGTAGGTAAATTTAGGATCTGGCACTTCTGCAGCTGTCTTTTTCTCCAAGATGTCTATGCTGTCGTCTACTGAAACTACGAGGGTGACACCAGCGATTCAACGCTACTCACCAAGGCCCAGGTCGGAGCCTGTCACAGGAACTGCTTCCACCAAACTAGGCACCCGACATTTCCAGGGCCTTGGACGTGAAAGAGCTGCCGTCCGGCAGAGCATAGGTCAGGGCATGAAGAAAGATGCCACCTCGGCCAGCGGCTGGGCTCAGCAATGCTGAAGGCAGCTAATTCAGGTTTAGCCGCTAAGATCCGCTAAGCCTCGGAGGCTGTTTCGTTCATCTCTCATTCGATGACCAAGCCACTGGGATGCATCGTGGCCGCTTCCTTAGTCACTATGTTTGCACCATGGCACCATGGGCATGCTTCGTCATGCTTCCTCATGCTGCAGGCGCATGTCTTAAGTCAAAGAAGCCTCTGGTTCCGCAGACTGACCTTTATCCAGATGGGCCTCCCAGTGATTGCAAGGATGGACATGAATGGACATGATAGGTCCCCGTGATACGTTTCTGAGTTGTTGCAGGAAATTTACAAACAATGTGGGAATATGTGCTGCATGCTTGCAGTTCTCTCCTATCCATCAAGCCTCTTGTCGAACGTGAGGAATCAGCGGCAGGGTGCAATCCTGAGCTTCTCTCAGGACGATGTCCAACCCAGATGATCGCCGGCTAGTAAAGAATTCGTGTGTACTGTATACATGTGTATGTATAGACATATACAGATATAGATGTAGATGTAGATATAGATGTAGATGTAGATATAGATATATATAGATATAGATCGTACTAGTATAATCTTAGATTCTTAGATTCGGAAGAGATCATCCTAGGTCCACAACCTGGCGCAGCTCACCCCCATAGCAACTGTCATTTGCGATGGGAAATCCCAAGTGGAGGAGGTGGACTCCTCGGTTTTTCCAGCTGGGATGAGTCCAGGATGGGTCGATGGTCCCAAGCTGAGCTTCCAACTGATCTGATGAGTTCGTCCTGTGGCTGGAAAACAACGGACCTGGGCTGCTGCATCTGGAACACTAGTTGCACAAATTACACTAGTTGGATGTCAGCAATATCCAGCAATTGAGAAACTGAGAAGGAAACCACAGATTCGTTCTCAGTGGCCATGGCCACAAACTCAAACTCAGTGGCTGCATCCTGCAACTCGGCGTTCTATGACCTCGTTGAACTGGAACTTTGAAAATTAAGTTTTAAAGTTTATAGATTGATATGCATAAAGTGTATAACTGAATTCTAATCCCGCCATTGGATGCAGTTGATTTCCTTATTTCATGGGTCCAGCACCATCTGTCCGGTGGTGTTCACCATGGATCCCATCCCAGGTCCCACCTTGGCGTCATCCCCGACCGCCTCGGCGGAGAAGGTGTACTTTCCGACCTGCGGAAAAAAACGGGACGCCGAGGGCGGACGCTTCTTGGGGGTGGGTCAGTCGTCATCCCAAACAAAGAATACTGAGAATACTGTATCCGCCGACCCCGGCAGACGCAAGGGGGAGCGCGCCAGGGAATAAGACATTGCGACTACTACTATACTACTGCAGCTACAGTAGATAGAAACAGCAGCAGCAGCAGCAGCAGCAGCAGCAGCACAACAACCACAACAACAACAACAACAACCACAACCACAACCACGACAACAACAACAACAAGAACAACAACAACAACAACAACAATGACCCTTTGCCGGGGGACCCTGTTGGGTCCCCCTCCCACCGGTCACGTACGTCGATTCATTGACTCCGGGGTTTTTGTTTTACCGGTGGGGGGTCCTTCCCGGAGTCTCCTCGAGGTACGTGGGGCTCCTTGGGTTGCCCTTCCCGCTCTGATTTGTTCGTTCGAGGCCGCATCCTCGAGGTTCTATGTCTCATTGTACAAACAGTGGTATCCGCCGACCCCGGCAGACGCAAGGGGGAGTGCGTAAGGGAAAAAGAGTTTATGACACAGCTGCCAGGAAAGAATAATAATAATTCGCTGACCCCGGCCGATGCAAGGGGGAGCGACAACAACAACCATGTGCCACCTCTGCTGTGCTCTCGATAGTCCATAAGCTTCAGGGTTAGGCTGCAATTTTCTTAGATCAAGTCGTGTCTTTGGTACCGGAGCATACTACTTGCCAACATTTTGTTCCACATCTTTTCCCGTTTCGTTTTTTGTGCGCTACCCGTATGCGGCCAAAGCGTTTCGTGCTTTGCACTTCTGTTAAACATGCTGGACACTGATGTGTGAAAAAGCTCTGAATCACTGTGCCACCGCGAACACGGAAGCGGACACCACAATGCTGTTGTTTCGCATCAACTTGTCCATCAGTGACAGTACTACGGACCTGTGTCTCACAATGAGGACATATATATTCATAGACCGGCTTTCTCTGCGAGATAGTGGGCCCTGCTGTATTTTCAACGCATTTTTCAACAGGAATCGTGGTGCGACTACGTTTCCGAGCAATTGCTTCCCATGTCTCCTGGATAATTTGCCTGTGGCGCAATCTTTTCCGGAGAGGTTCGAGGCGAGCTGCACTGGAAGCAGCTGCGCGCTTGCGGACTGCATGCTGCACCTTCGCAGCGTGGCATGTGTTGCATGTCTGCGTTCCATCCTCCTTTCTAGAGGGCCGCCGGGAAATAAAGCTAGAAAAGTGGTGCCGCGACTAGGATTTCAGATGACACGTTAGGGAGTTTTTTGGCGTGGTTCTGGACCTTGCTCGTCCTTCAGAGCGATGGTGTTTTGCTGCCGGGAGCTGCTTTTTTCGAAGCTGTTTTACCGGCATCAGCAGCAGCAGCCGCCGCCACCAGTTCTGCGAGCAGCCGCAGGCAACAGAATCTGTCGACAAATGCTGTTTTTCTAGATTTCCAGACGACTCGTTAGGGAGTTTTTTCGCGTGGTTTTGGACCTTGCTCGTCCTTCCGAGCCATGGTGTTTTGCTGCCGGGAGCTGCTTTTTTCGAAGCTGTTTTACCGGCATCAGCAGCAGCAGCCGCCGCCACCAGTTCTGCGAGCAGCCGCAGGCAACAGAATCTGTCGACAAATGCTGTTTTTCCAGATTTCCAGACGACACATTAGGGAGTTTTTTCGCGTGGTTTTGGACCTTGCTCGTCCTTCCGAGCCATGGTGTTTTGCTGCCGGGAGCTGCTTTTTTCGAAGCTGTTTTACCGGCATCAGCAGCAGCAGCCGCCGCCACCAGTTCTGCGAGCAGCCGCAGGCAACAGAATCTTTCGACCTTGCTCGTCCTTCAGAGCCATGGTGTTTTGCTGCCGGGGCTGCTTTTTTCGAAGCTGTTTTACCGGCATCAGCAGCAGCAGCCGCAGGCAACAGAATCTCTCGACAAATGCTGTTTTTCTAGATTTTTCTAGATTTCCAGACGACACGTTAGGGAGTTTTTTCGCGTGGTTTTGGACCTTGCTCGTCCTTCCGAGCCATGGTGTTTTGCTGCCGGGAGCTGCTTTTTCGAAGCTGTTTTACCGGCATCAGCAGCAGCAGCCGCTGCCACCAGTTCTGCGAGCAGCCGCAGGTAACAGAATCTTTCGACCTTGCTCGTCCTTCAGAGCTATGGTGTTTTGCTGCCGGGGGCTGCTTTTTTCGAAGCTGTTTTACCGGCATCAGCAGCAGCAACCGTCGCCACCAGTCCTGCGAGCAGCCGCAGGCAACAGAATCTCTTGACAATCTCTCGACAATGTGCTGTTTTTCTAGGATTTCAGAAGACACGTTAGGGAGTTTTTTGGCGTGGTTCTGGACCTTGCTCGTCCTTCAGAGCCATGGTGTTTTGCTGCCGGGAGCTGCTTTTTTCGAAGCTGTTTTACCGGCATCAGCAGCAGCAGCAGCCGCCGCCATCAGTTCTGCGAGCAGCCGCAGGCAACAGAATCTGTCGACAAATGCTGTTTTTCTAGATTTCCAGACGACACGTTAGGGAGTTTTTTCGCGTGGTTTTGGACCTTGCTCGTCCTTCCGAGCCATGGTGTTTTGCTGCCGGGAGCTGCTTTTTTCGAAGCTGTTTTACCGGCATCAGCAGCAGCAGCCGCCGCCACCAGTTCTGCGAGCAGCAGGCAACGCAGGCAACAGAATCTTTCGACCTTGCTCGTCCTTCAGAGCCATGGTGTTTTGCTGCCGGGGGCTGCTTTTTTCGAAGCTGTTTTACCGGCATCAGCAGCAGCAGCCGCAGGCAACAGAATCTCTCGACAAATGCTGTTTTTCTAGATTTTTCTAGATTTCCAGACGACACGTTAGGGAGTTTTTTCGTTGGACCTTGCTCGTCCTTCCGAGCCATGGTGTTTTGCTGCCGGGAGCTGCTTTTTTCGAAGCTGTTTTACCGGCATCAGCAGCAGCAGCCGCCGCCACCAGTTCTGCGAGCAGCCGCAGGTAACAGAATCTTTCGACCTTGCTCGTCCTTCAGAGCTATGGTGTTTTGCTGCCGGGGGCTGCTTTTTTCGAAGCTGTTTTACCGGCATCAGCAGCAGCAATCGTCGCCACCAGTCCTGCGAGCAGCCGCAGGCAACAGAATCTCTTGACAATCTCTCGACAATGTGCTGTTTTTCTAGGATTTCAGACGACACGTTAGGGAGTTTTTTGGCGTGGTTCTGGACCTTGCTCGTCCTTCAGAGCCATGGTGTTTTGCTGCTGGGAGCTGCTTTTTTCGAAGCTGTTTTACCGGCATCAGCAGCAGCAGCCGCCGCCACCAGTTCTGCGAGCAGCCGCAGGCAACAGAATCTCTCGACAATCTCTCGACAATGTGCTGTTTTTCTAGGTTTTCAGACGACACGTTAGGGAGTTTTTTGGCGTGGTTCTGGACCTTGCTCGTCCTTCAGAGCCATGGTGTTTTGCTGCCGGGAGCTGCTTTTTTCGAAGCTGGTTTACTGGCATCAGCAGCAGCAGCCGCCGCCACCAGTCGTGCGAGCAGCCGTAGGCGACAGAATCTCTCGACAATCGACAAATGCTGTTTTTCTATGCTGTTTCTATGCTGTTTTTTGGCTGTTTTTCTAGCACATTTTTTCTAGCATTTCAGACGACACGTTTGGGAGGTTTTTTGGCGTGGTTCTGGAACTTGCTCGTCCTTCGGAGCCATGGTGTTTTGCTGCCGGGAGCTGCTTTTTTCGAAGCTATTGTACCGGCATCAGCAGCAGCAGCCGCCACCTGCGAGCAGCTGCAGGCGACAGACTCTCTCGAAAAAAGCTGTTTTTCCAGGATTTCAAACGACATCAGCAGCAGCAGCCGCCGCCACCAGTTCTGCGAGCAGCCACAGGCAACAGAATCTGTCGACAAATGCTGTTTTTCTAGATTTCCAGACGACACGTTAGGGAGTTGTTTCGCGTGGTTTTGGACCTTGCTCGTCCTTCCGAGCTATGGTGTTTTGCTGCCGGGGGCTGCTTTTTTCGAAGCTGTTTTACCGGCATCAGCAGCAGCAGCCGCCGCCACCAGTTCTGCGAGCAGCCGCAGGCAACAGAATCTGTCGACAAATGCTGTTTTTCTAGATTTCCAGACGACACGTTAGGGAGTTTTTTCGCGTGGTTTTGGACCTTGCTCGTCCTTCCGAGCCATGGTGTTTTGCTGCCGGGAGCTGCTTTTTTCGAAGCTGTTTTACCGGCATCAGCAGCAGCAGCCGCCGCCACCAGTTCTGCGAGCAGCCGCAGGCAACGCAGGCAACAGAATCTTTCGACCTTGCTCGTCCTTCAGAGCCATGGTGTTTTGCTGCCGGGGGCTGCTTTTTTCGAAGCTGTTTTACCGGCATCAGCAGCAGCAGCCGCAGGCAACAGAATCTCTCGACAAATGCTGTTTTTCTAGATTTTTCTAGATTTCCAGACGACACGTTAGGGAGTTTTTTCGCGTGGTTTTGGACCTTGCTCGTCCTTCCGAGCCATGGTGTTTTGCTGCCGGGAGCTGCTTTTTCGAAGCTGTTTTACCGGCATCAGCAGCAGCAGCCGCCGCCACCAGTTCTGCGAGCAGCCGCAGGTAACAGAATCTTTCGACCTTGCTCGTCCTTCAGAGCTATGGTGTTTTGCTGCCGGGGGCTGCTTTTTTCGAAGCTGTTTTACCGGCATCAGCAGCAGCAACCGTCGCCACCAGTCCTGCGAGCAGCCGCAGGCAACAGAATCTCTTGACAATCTCTCGACAATGTGCTGTTTTTCTAGGATTTCAGACGACACGTTAGGGAGTTTTTTGGCGTGGTTCTGGACCTTGCTCGTCCTTCAGAGCCATGGTGTTTTGCTGCCGGGAGCTGCTTTTTTCGAAGCTGTTTTACCGGCATCAGCAGCAGCAGCCGCCGCCACCAGTTCTGCGAGCAGCCGCAGGCAACAGAACCTGTCGACAAATGCTGTTTTTCTAGATTTCCAGACGACACGTTAGGGAGTTTTTTCGCGTGGTTTTGGACCTTGCTCGTCCTTCCGAGCCATGGTGTTTTGCTGCCGGGAGCTGCTTTTTTCGAAGCTGTTTTACCGGCATCAGCAGCAGCAGCCGCCGCCACCAGTTCTGCGAGCAGCCGCAGGCAACGCAGGCAACAGAATCTTTCGACCTTGCTCGTCCTTCAGAGCCATGGTGTTTTGCTGCCGGGGGCTGCTTTTTTCGAAGCTGTTTTACCGGCATCAGCAGCAGCAGCCGCAGGCAACAGAATCTCTCGACAAATGCTGTTTTTCTAGATTTTTCTAGATTTCCAGACGACACGTTAGGGAGTTTTTTCGCGTGGTTTTGGACCTTGCTCGTCCTTCCGAGCCATGGTGTTTTGCTGCCGGGAGCTGCTTTTTTCGAAGCTGTTTTACCGGCATCAGCAGCAGCAGCCGCCGCCACCACTTCTGCGAGCAGCCGCAGGTAACAGAATCTTTCGACCTTGCTCGTCCTTCAGAGCTATGGTGTTTTGCTGCCGGGGGCTGCTTTTTTCGAAGCTGTTTTACCGGCATCAGCAGCAGCAACCGCCGCCACCAGTCCTGCGAGCAGCCGCAGGCAACAGAATCTCTTGACAATCTCTCGACAATGTGCTGTTTTTCTAGGATTTCAGACGACACGTTAGGGAGTTTTTTGGCGTGGTTCTGGACCTTGCTCGTCCTTCAGAGCCATGGTGTTTTGCTGCCGGGAGCTGCTTTTTTCGAAGCTGGTTTACTGGCATCAGCAGCAGCAGCAGCCGCCGCCACCAGTCGTGCGAGCAGCCGTAGGCGACAGAATCTCTCGACAATCGACAAATGCTGTTTTTCTATGCTGTTTCTATGCTGTTTTTTTTGCTGTTTTTCTAGCACATTTTTTCTAGCACATTTTTTCTAGCATTTCAGACGACACGTTTGGGAGGTTTTTTGGCGTGGTTCTGGAACTTGCTCGTCCTTCGGAGCCATGGTGTTTTGCAGCCGGGAGCTGCTTTTTTCGAAGCTATTGTACCGGCATCAGCAGCAGCAGCCTCCACCTGCGAGCAGCTGCAGGCGACAGACTCTCTCGAAAAAAGCTGTTTTTCCAGGATTTCAGACGACACGTTAGGCAGTTTTTTAGCGTGGTTCTAAAACTTGCTCGTTCTTTAGAGCCATGGTTTTTTGCTGCCGGGAGCTGCCAGCAGGTGCTTTTTTCGAAGCTATTTTCCTGCGAGTAGCTGCAGGCAACAGAATCTCTCGACAAATGCTGTTTTTCTATAGAATTTTCTCTAGAATTTCAGACGACCGGTTAGGGAGTTTTTTGGCGTGGTTCTGGAACTTGCTCGTGTTTCAGAGCCATAGTGTTTTGTTGCTGGGAACTGCTTTTTTCGAAGCTGGTTGACCGGCATCCGCAGCAGCAGCAGCCGAATACAATGACAGTACATTTACATTACACCAAATTACACTACATAACTTTACATTGCAAGGTACATACCAGCCAAAGTCCATCAAACTGCGCGGACAAAACCATGGTAAGAATGTCCAAGCGTTATGTCTGGGTTCCATTTAGTATTTCCTTCAAACCTTATTAGAATGTCGTCTAGGGTCTCTTTAGGATGCATTTAAAGTTTCATTCAAATGGTTTCTTTAGGTCAATTTCTGGTTTCTTTAGGGTTCATTTCATTTAGGATCCAAACAGAAGAGAATAAAACAAAAGAATTAGAATTTCATGCCGAGCTTCTCTGGGATTCACTCGGGTTTCGCGTTTCTTAAAGATTTACATCTCTTAAAAGTTTTCTTTCGAGTTTCTTTAAGGTTTCTGTCGAATTTCATGCAGGGTTTGCTTTAGGAATTCTTTCAGGTCTTCCGGGGTCGGCGGCAGGGGCGGCAGCCCTTAAATCCGGCGACGCCTCGCCGTGTGTGTGGGGAAGCTAAGCATAGCTTTAGCTACCCGGGGGCGCGCCCCTGCCGCCGACCCTCCCCAAAAATCCTTTAGCCTGGTGGGGTTTTCACGTTTTTCGGGGTCTGGGGTGGACAAAAAGAGGGTAAAATTTGAAGATGCGTTTTGGAGGTCCCAAAAATCGGAAAAAAATACCGTTTTGACACATTTTTCGGACGATTTTTCGCTTTTCGGAAGTCACAAAATGCTGTAAATTACAACATTTTTGCGTTTTAACGTCGTTGGCGGGAGCCATGCAAAAACGCAGAAAATGCTGTAAATACCAATACTTTTTGGACCCGAGATGCACAAAACACTGCAAATACCAGTGTTTTTGAAAGCCAAGCAAAAATACATTATAAATTACAGCATTTTTGGCGGGTTGATCGCAAAAAATGCTGGTATTCACAATGTTTCTGCAATTTCAAGCAAACGTGGAAGGCACGAAACACTGTAAATAGCGGTGTTTTGGCAACTTTTGGACGCCGAAACGCTTGTATTTACGCAGTTTTTTGCTTGTGACGGGGCCACTCCCCTGTAAATTACAGCATTTTTTGCACTTTTTGAACCGATTTTTTGTCTTGATGAATGCAAAAAACGCTGGTATTTACACGTTTTTCAAAAAATCGAAGATCGTGATGTGAACGAAACTCTGTAAATAAGAGTGTTTTAGCCACTTTCGGGGACTAAAACTGTGGTATTTACACGGGTTCTTACCATCTCACAGCACAAAATGCTGTAAATTACAACACTAGGCATAGGCCAACATAGCCTCAAGATGCGCCAACATAGCCCCAAGATGTGCCAACATAGCCCCAAGATAGGCCGCCGACCCTCAGCATGTCATGTTCGCAAGTTCAGATGACATCCCCCTCTCTCTTTCCCTCCCCCGACCCTACCGGCGTCGCCGGTGTGCGAAGCTCTACAATAACCCATGTATAACCCATGTATAGCCATGTATAGCCATGTATAGCTAGCTGTAATTTGATATTTCTCAAGTGATCATCCCAAACTGTGAATCAAGATAATCAAGGATTTGAAAGGCCTTGAAACATGTTTGAAACCACAGATCTGAGACGAGTACCTTCTCCAAATGAAAACTTCCCTGCCTTGCGGTCGATGCAGCGGATATAGCCCTCAACCCGCAGTCGCCCGTTGAGTCGAGTGACTCCTGGGAGATCACCTGGTGCAAATCAGGCACCCAAAAAAAACATCGATCATTGTTACAAAAAATACCGGAACCAAAAAAATAAACTCGGCAAATCTCATGATGTCTCTCTCCCAGCAGTTTGAAAGGTGACCCGATGCACTCTGCCTGAGTCTGGATCCAAGAGCTTCTTGAAGCAGCCTTTGACTCGAGCCAGGTAAGTCTTCCGGATCTGGTTCGCAGCAAACCAGGCGCCAACCTCAACACCATAGGTCCACGAAACTGCTGGGAAGACCCTGACAAAGTGATCCAAATACATCAAAATTCCGCTGAGAGATCTGAGAGGTGCTGGCTCTTCTGGCAGCCTCTTTGGTTTTAGCCTTGGATTGCTCCAATGTGGCTTTCTGATGGCTTTCTGGCTCACTCATAGAACCCACTGGGAGATCGCACCAGGAGAACCAGCCCGCTAGTGAGGCGATCCAAACCTGAGTCTGAAAAAATCTTGGAGCCAATCTCCCTGTGACCATTTGGGTGTGTCTGAAAATGTTGGATATTGGATGATATTGGATTTTGAGGTATTTTGAAGGTATTTTGAAAGTATATCAGTATATCATCGGTATCTCCGATGACCTTCAAAAAACATCGGACTGAGCCCCGGGACGGTGGGTTGTGTGCAATGTCGCAGTTGCCTCAGGTTTCGCAAGGCCGCAAAACCTGGACCTGGATTTCTCCTGCGAAAATGTGTCTTCCGCCTCGACGGTCTCTTGGTTGCGGAGGATCGCAATGAGAGAGTTGAAGCCTCAAAGAATCCCAATATATTTGGGATATCCCAAGTGAGCCATTCAAAAATATCAAAAAGACCCCTGTCATACTGAATCTAACTGATTTATTTAGGGTTTTGATGGAATTGATGGATCTTGATAACCCATAGTAGGGATCCCTATTTACCCACCAGTATGATGGAATGGGATGGGGGGGTCTTTTTTATGGCTCTACTGAATTCCGATCCACATGAGACATCAGAACTGTGTCTAGAGAAGAGGTGAGGATTTGGGCAGAAACAGCTAAGCCGCATACGATAGCTTCCGCATGGGTGTATTGGCAAGGAGCTAGGCTTGTTCACCACAAGCAGTTCCTGCCGAAGAAAAATGATGCGGGTCACGGGTCAAGCAAAAACAAGATGGCTCAATACCAAAAAGATAAGCAAAATCTGCAAATCCCAACGGGTCCAAAAATTCGCCCCATAACCACAGGAGTTCATCCAGGCCTGCGTCTCTTCCACCACCTGAGGTATCAACTGAGAGGATGCGCCTACTTCTGACCTCTCCACCTTGAAATTCCGGCCTGTATGGGCCCCCTGTCCAAGACCGGATTTTCCCTGCATCGGACAGCACGATGAACCTCGTGTGGGCGGGCCGGTTGTTAACCTGGGCAACGTAAACTGGAGAAACTTGAGTCCAAGGTGGATTGAAACCACCAACCGGTGATAGTTATTAGGATGGAAGACAAACTTGAAATATAATTAGACACGATATTTGAAGCAACCATCATGCAACCATCCACCAACGAGGTTTGATCCGCCAAGGCCGTAGCAATGAGTTGCCCATCCCTCAGCACATGCTCCGACTTCACTGGCTGTCCATCCACGGTCACACGACCAGCTGCAATGGAGGCCTCCCAAGTTCTGAGGTCATCATATCGGTGTCCTCCCTGATGGGGGACTGAAAAACAACCCACAAAAAAAACACTGTAATGGATCTTATGGCAATATTCGGATGGTTATGGATGGTTCAGTATTGGGCTTACCACATTATGCAGATGGAAATGCATGAACGTTTGAAACATGTTGAAATCAAAAGCACCACACTGGTGTCAAAGGACTTGGAAAAGGAGCAACAGAACAGCAAAGTCCTGTCCTCGTAATAGTCCCGAGGAAACGCAACAAATTCGCACGCGCAAACCTTCCGCAAGGGTCGGTGAGCCGGAATTTCGCGCTGAAAAGCAGATCATAGCAGATCTCTCTTTGCAGCGTTTTGGGTTTATGGGAGCCAATTCCCATCACCATTGCGACTGGGACACAACAAGGGGCACAGCATGCACCGATTCTCCCTTGACGCCTCAAGCAGAGTTCTGCCGACCCATCGCTGCCTTGGAAGTCAAAAAGCGCGCTGACCGTCTAGGGCATAGTGACTGTCTGAGAAGGCGGCTTCACATGCGTTGTGAAGTCGAAATCGTATGGCCTGGGGGGGGGAACTATGATAGACTCACAAGCTGTCCCTGGGCTATCTGATTCCGAATGCAATTTCAAGATGTGTGGTTTGCAATTGTTGCAACAAGCTTCACCGTCGCTCTGTCGCATAAGCAAGTGACTCCACATGTCTTAATCCACCTTGTATTTTGTAGGTGACCTGTGGCTCGTGCTGGCTCAGCTTGCCAGTGGATGAAACTGCAAATGGAACCCATCACTGGAGCGAAGCAACCAGCTGAACCACTGCAACCTAGCAACATGCTCCGGGGCAGTAGCAGCTTGAGAGACTCGGCCTGAATTTGCACAGCAAAAAGATGTTTTGCAGCGATCAGATTCGTGGAGAGTCAGGGAGTAGATATATGACAATCAACTGCATTCGAACCAATGGTGGTCCCTTCTCCAAATGCGAAAGTTACGTTTTCTTTATCCAGCAGCGAAGTTGGTCGAGAGACTCTTGGAGCATCTCAAACGACTTGTTTTCCACAGTACTTGCGAGCATGCGCCTCCACCCAATCCTTTGCAAAGAACACGCTGATCGATGATTTTGATTGATTTTGTGCCTTAACTCCCTAGAGTTTTGCCACCGCTCTGTCTTTCGCTTCCATCCCATGTGCTTCCACCATGATCATTGTGAGGCTTTGCAGCAAATCCGGATTCTCCTCCAAGAAGGTGGCAAAACACCATTCACAATCGATTGCTAAGGTGTCAAAAGCCACGTTCAGATTTCGCACAGGACGCGCTGGAACAAGGATGTCATTTGCATCCACTGTGAATTTAGCATACCCTTCGCTGCAGTTCAGGTGTTTGGCTTTGACCTCTGGAGTGCTGATTTTGAAACTGTTGGAACCTTGTATTTGGCGAGGTTGGCTTCCAGAATGTCCCACACCATGGGATCTGCAGACACTGAAACCAAGTCACTTCCAGCTCTTTTCGCCTCAATTTCCGTCAGATGCTTCGTCATAATCACCGTGGTCTTCGCATCCGCGGCGTCGTTCAATCCAAGCACGTCGGACAAGATGCATTGGCTGTAAGGGGCGCCAACCTCCAAGACTTTGGCGTCCTGCCAGACCCAGGCAGCGTAGACCATACGCGACGCAAGTTTAAACCGCGAAATCAAAGTTCTTGGTCTTCAGCTTTCAAATCACAAACGTCTTCAATGAGTTTCACACAATTACGGGCAGAAGGACCTCGCCATCGCTTGTGTTTGAAGCAATGTTTCCAGTTCTCAGCAACCGCAACTGAAAGCGACACGAAGACCAAGACCACATTTGCCATCTTACACTATGAGACGCGAAACGTTGGATAAATTTGTTCTGACAGGAAAATGGCTTGAACCAAAGTACACAGTCTCATACAATGGACCTTAAGCCCTATGGCCTTAAAATAGAGCCTCCCGAAACACAGCTCTGTCTCACTCTATATGTAGACTGAAGACTAGTTGAATCCAATTGTGCATGAAGCAATGCGCAGTTTGATCATATCAGGCACGCAACACGCAGGATTTGAACGCTTTGCCTCGTTTTGTTGGCTGAGATGAAGCAGGAGTTGCCTCGGTGGCGCTGCTGATGGAAGAGTAGTTCCTGAGATGTTTGATGATTATACACCATTAAAAAATAAAAAGCACCAAAATCTGCATTGCCTCTGAAGGTCCCTATGCCCAAGGTTCTAAGTCTGGGACTATCTTCCCTTCAGTGCCCGATTGTGCTGGGCTCTCTGTAGCTCCAGCATTGACGTTCTCACCGTTTTCACCTCCATCTGGAGCCTGGACCATCTTCCCAAGGATTGAAAAAAAGATGGTTTCACAAAAAAAAAAAAGTTCAGATCTGATGAATCTTGGAAAGCTCTCCGATCCGCTGTGGCTTGAGGCCCCCACATCAGACTCTGCTTGCCGCTTGGGCATGGGCTTTCATGCTGCACGAGAAAGTGCGTTTCTGCCGTGCCCAGGTCGTTTCGGACTCAATTGAGCAGTGTTCAAAACTCCTGTTGGTTGATGATGAAATAGGGGGTACATACTGTCCAATATGGGGATTATCACAATCCGTTCTAGGGATTCAAGATTGTTTCCAATGGATAAAGCCTGACATTTCTGCACCTTGCGCAAAGCTGCCACTACAAGACTCGCACATCAATGTCATGTTTGCATCAAAGCCGGTAGCAAATGCAGAAAGGAACGCATTCTCATATCTGCTGGCTGAATTCCAATCATTCACCAAACCGAAAAAAAGAGAATGTGTGCGTGTGTGTGTGTGTCTGTGTGTGTCTGTGTGTGTCTGTGTGTGTCTGTGTGTGTCTGTGTGTGTCTGTGTGTGTCTGTGTGTGTCTGTGTGTGTCTGCGTGTGTGTCTGTGTGTGTCTGTGTGTGTCTGTGTGTGTCTGTGTGTGTCTGTGTGTGTCTGTGTGTGTCTGTGTGTGTCTGTGTGTGTCTGTGTGTGTCTGTGTGTGTCTGTGTGTGTGTGTGTTTGTTTGTTACACAGGTTCCCATCATATCACAAACTACCTTTTAGGTCCATGTGCTGCCATTCCGCCTTTTTGTTGACACGAATGCGCCTACACTTCTCTCGTCTCAAGACTTAGAGCGTCTTTGCGGCAGACTTTGCGATCTCGCGGTGAACCCACCACATTTCTTGCCCACTGCAAACCAACAGATTTGCATATCCTTGTTGTTGTGTGTTCGTTGAGGATTCAATTTTATGGATTGCAGTAATCTTCTCGTTCCAGCCCCTAGGCAAGACGCTAGACTCGCTAGACATCTTTGAAGGAGCAAGCCTCATACCCTGAGCCTATACATTCCATGTCTTTTCACATCGACCTGTCAGGCCGCATCACTTCCCCAGCGCAATTGATCCTCACCGCCGGCCGGCAGGCCTCCTGCACAAAGCAAAGTGCAGTATCATGTCAAATCATATATATATACATACATACATACATACAGTATATCACATACATATATATATATACACAGTATATCACATATATATATATATATATTATATATATATATATATACTAACTATATATAATATGATATGTATCAGATACATGTGTATCATATATGAAGTTTGATGTCATTGATCAGTAAACCACCAGTGTTACTCAAACTTCACAGGACCACGGCGGACCGGTGCCCGGCGCGCTCCTGGGTGAAGGACTTCTACGCCGTGGGCGACGGTCATCAACAGGCCGTCGAGGGGGCCTTCAAAAACAACTGAAGTGGGGTCTATTGTGAAATGATGTTAGTGAATAGATGTTAGGAAAATGTTGGGAAACTTGTTGGTGAATTGCTGTTTTTACATGGTGAAGTGAAGTGTTGAAAATTCTGGCCATGACACTGCTGGATGTTGTGATCTGTGGAATCCACTGGGATATCCATGCCCTGCAACCAGCCATACCGGGTTCGTTCGCATCACCCTGGACTCAGAGAGCTGCTCAGCGCGTCCACGGCCAGAGGCTCCTTCGTTCCTGCGAGGCCAAACTTGAATAAAAGATGGTGGGACACTTCACCCAAGAATCATCCAAGAACTTAAGCAAAACAGTTTCAGATCCACTCTGATGCTTGTTATGCTTGAGTATCACTTGATCGACTTGAAACTCTATTTTAAGAGCTTCCACCACAGATAAAAGTTTGAAAATAGCCTAGGCTGCCATAGCCTATGATTGCATGATCCACATCTAATGACTCTGCCGTCCTGGAACGTGGAGGTGGCTCTGGGCGGCCTTGATGGAGCTAGAACATCAAGTGTCTACATAGAACCTCACTGCCTTCACTTCAGAAATCGCAGAAACAGTCCAAGAGTAAGCTTCAGGCGAGACGTTCCCTGATAGCATGAATTGATATGAATTGCTGGGAGACTCCGAAATTCCAAAATTATCAAACATCATGGCCATCATGGCAAAAAAACATGGCACTTGTGAAGTTTCTGCACCAAGAGGATACCAATGATCTACGAAGTTGCACGATGAAGACTTCGTAGCACCTCGCGATAGCCTCCAGATGGCCTGAACAGAATGGCTTGGGAACCAATGATCTCTATGGGGTTCTCTAAATGTCCACGACGACATAGGGGAAAAATGTGGAAAGTCGTCCAAGGGCTTTGTTAAAACTGATGATGAACCATATTGGATTTGGGGGTCCCATGTTTTTGAATTGGGGTTCCGGCCTTGGGCTTCTACTCCTTCGGCTGGCACCTGCCACCATCATGACCAACTATCAGTATCAGTTGTTTGGAAAGTTCTTGGTAGCTCCTTGGCTCGTCATTCGATCAGGAAAATATCAGGAATATGGATACAAAATGATACAAAAAATTGCTCCGCTCCCTCCCACCGCAACTAAAATCAGGAGCATAGAACAAAAAAAGGACAGTAAAGGACTAAGCCAACTGACTGACTCCGAACCACCCCTCCTGAGGCAGGAGGCAGCGCTCTAGAGCCACCAGAATCGCGCCGCCTCAAGGCAACCGCAGACCATGGCAGTACCAAGGCAACCTCCAATTTGGGGAGTCCATCTGCTTGAACAATGTCCATTTGGTGATAAAGATATCGACCCAGATGGGAAATGAATGGTCTATGGTTCTGAGAGTTGAAAATAACCAACATGTTTCGAATGTATACCAACGTATACAACATAAAACATAGCCTAGCATAAATACGCCAACACATATCAGATCTATACAACATATGATGCAACAATACATGTATGTGTATATATTATATGTATTATAATATGTATATATATATATAATTATATGTATTATAATATATATATATAATTATATGTATTAATATATATATATATATAATTATATGTATTATAATATATATATATATATATACATATGTGTATATATATATATATATCAGTTACTCAAATATCACATGGAAATATCTATATTATATAAAATTACGAGTATTTTTTTAATTCGAAAATCTGTTAACCCGTGACCCTCAGCGTCTTTTTTCGCTCCTGGAAGGTGGATCATCTCCTTCCAGGTAGACTTGGATGGTACGTTCCTGGGAGCCGCTGGAGCGTCCATTTCGATAGGGATGAAATAATTTTTCAATGGCCTGAAATAAATGTATGTAATCAATGTATATCAATGTAATCCATTGTTTTTTCAAAAATCTTTGGTAAGTAATCGTTTAATCATGTTTAATCCCAATGTTGAACATGGGCTAAAACTGCTCTTGGGCCGCACAAACTCTCTCAGAAGGCGTCGTTCAGTTGGCCGCCATGGAAGCGTCGGACTGCATCTGTGGCTGCACGCTCCCTCAGGCAACATAGGCTACAAGGTTGGCCACAAAAATATCATGATATTTCATGATATTTCATGGTGAAAACATGTGAAAACTCAGTGAAAACCGCCTCAACTTGGGCTTACTGTAATCACATTTCCATACATTTCCATTCTTTCGTCATAATGGCAAGGAAGCTGGAAACAGCAGTGCTGTTCAAATCCTCTTCCTGAGGAATGAAAAGTCTACAGTAGGGGCTGCACTCTCGGAAAGTGATTGTGGCGGTATCACCACCAACAGTAGCACCTCAAGAAGACATGGTCAACAGATGTGGAAAATGTCACAACTGAAACGTTGCATGCGTTCAACATAAAGCCTGTGTCAAATGTCAGCCTGCTAAGCGCAAGTTCGAGTGAAAATTCATGAATAAAAATATATGTGTACTAATATACATACGTCGTGTACGAATCACCAGGATGTCAAAGCGGTATAGTGGCAGTGTATCAATTGAGATAGTTAAGTGTACTGTGGCGGACCGGCACTTAGAATTTAAAAAAAAGATTAAAGTTTTAGAATATGGATTTATGTTAATTTTTAACATACTTGAGCCCGGGGTGAAAAGCACTAAGAATATTCAAATCGAGGGGGTACACATAGAATATTTTTGTAGTATGCTGTCTTAAGGAAAAACTAGCTACATCCGACCATATATCCCAGTAATTCCCAATAAAAATCATTACCTCCAAGCCTCCTCTCGCTCTCTCTCTCTCTCTATCCCCGTTCCTGTTTTTTTTTGGGTTTCCCCATCAATCTATGGTACTCTACCGTGCTACCGCATGAGTACCTCAATGTATGGGTTCGCAAATCTCAATGGAAAACGAACAAAACCCAATACATCAACACAACAAGAACATGGTTTACAATAACAAACTCAACAGTAAACTTGTTGGTTCGGTACCTTCTTTGATGGACTATCAGTGACTATGTAGTTGTGGCCATATTCTAAGTGCATTTACTGCCCATAAGCGCACAGTTATACAGGCAAAAGCAGCAAGTGCAAAACCGGTTGGTGCTGTACCATGCTTGTTTTGCTGCAGTACCAAAAACAACTGTAAACCATGAGGTGCCGTACTGAGATTTATCGGCGATCATGAACTCAACAGTTGCATTTTGTTTATGTTTTGTTGGTATTGTACACGGCTTGTCTTGCAGTAACAAACTCAACTATATATAAACTGTTCAGTTCTGTATCTTGCTTGATGGACAAAGTGACTCTGGCAGTTGTGTGCATATTCTAAGTGCATTTACTGCGCAGAAACGCACACTTTTACACGAAAACAACTGCCAAACGGTTGGTACTCTACCGTGCGTGTTTTGCACTACCAGATGCAAGAACTGTAAGCCATGCGGTGCTCTGCTGAAATTGTTGTGCAAACATGAACTCAACTGTTTCATGATTTGGTACTGTACAGTGCTTGTTTTGCAACAAAGAACTCAACTATAAACTGTCCGGTTCTGTATCTTATTTGATGGAATACGCGACTCTGGCAGCTGTGGCCATATTCTAACTGCATTCACTGTCCAGAAATGCACAGTTTTACACAAGCAAAAATAACAAATGCCAACCGGTTGGTACTGTACCATGCATGTGTTGCAGCAACAAATGCAACAACAGTAAACCATGTGGTGATGTACTGAGATTGT